TAATACCGTATACCGTGATAAAAGCATTAGCAATTAATCGCAACATGAAAATTTGATACCGGCATATCCCTAATTCTAACGTGTGCGTACTCCCACGCAAACATTTGCTGAACAGCAACCCTGGTCACGGTTTTCGCTAAGTCACCGATTTCGGCACAACACCGGATAAGCAGAGCTGCCAAGTCCACGTATTATACGTGACTTTGGGCTTTCTTTCTTTGTAAAGTTGCGTGAAAAAAAATCCCAGGTCGCGTGTTGCGGTTTTTTGGGCTTATTTTAAAAAATATGGTTGCTTGTTAGGAAAAATGCGTTTGAAAAAAAAATATATAAGTGCTGTAGCGTAATTGGTCAAATATTCCGCCCCCTCCTCACGCGCCTTCTTTTTGAACGTGATTTTTCTTCAATCCCTCATTGAAGAAAAATCACGATCAAAAAGAATTCGCGTGACGCTGTTATCCAAGCGATTATATTAGTAGACGTGGAGGGGATGACTTTTTTTCCTTTATAAGGTAGCCTAATTTTTACAATGTTTTTGTAATGTATTAATTATCACGGGCTGTAATAAAAAAACAAGTAGGCCTATACTAATACTAAGAGTATGTTTGGTTCGAATAGCCAATATTTTAGTAGGCTATAAAATCACAGGTGACTGGAGATGAGTTTTGTTCCTGCTTTGTTGCAGTTTGCTGATTTTTGTCAAATAACTTATGCTTTTGCTTTTCACATAAAAGTAGTTTCGGTTTAATATGTTGCAGGCTCATTTATTGGTAATAAATAATTGATCATAAATAATATTGATGATAATAAATTATCAAAAAATATTGGGCTTGTTTTTGAAGCTGCAGTTGCTTATTAGTCTCGCGAGAGTTGGCAACAGTGCGGATAAGATCAGATCCCTTTAACGCTCTTATAACCCAGCACTCTGGCTCGAGTAAATCGCTTTGTTTGTCCGAACAAATACATAATCATTTACAACACACCAGTTGTCATTGAGAAGGCTTACCTGAAAATGTCCTAGATAACAAAGATTCAGTGTTTAGCGAGCGACAAAATAGCAGAATATTAAACCGTTGCATTTTTAACACTTGTAAATATTCTTTCGTGTCCCGGTATCACTTCACTGTTGTACCTTCACATAAGCGTGTGACTGCAAATAAAATTTACAATTCTGTAAGAGATTTCGGATAAAAATATCTGTGGGGAAAGTAAACAACTCTTGGGCTGTTAGCTTGCTAGCTCACTTCAGCTAACCATTGAAAACAGCTTCAAATTGAATAAAAAAGAAATATCACTCGGTGTTTTTGGAAAAATCTAACTAAATAGGAAAAGAAAGAGAACTGAGAGCTAAACAGAAAAAAGGCAAATATTCGGCGAATGAGAATTGTGTTTGTTGGCTAGCGCTGGTTAGCATGTTAGCTTGCAGAGAAGCTTGAATAAAGAAGAGCATAAAGAAGAGCAGGCTAACACCCATTTAATCTCTTTCAGAGAAAAAAAACACACCGCAGCTTTACCCAATTAACGAGCGCATTAATGATGGATTAATTTTACTCTATTTAAGTCTAAGAAATTATACATTTAAAAAACTTTTAAGCCCACATATTTTTTTATCGAATTTAATTAACGTTACCGTCTACAGTAATTAAGCTATAAATAAAATTAATAGATGCAATTATATTTGAGAGGATGTATTAATTAACATTATTAATTAATTAGAAATTTTGAGTTTGGAAACATTAGCTCTTTA